GTGACGTTAATCCGCCGATTGGGGTCAGTATGAAGATAATTAAAATTTATACAAGTACGTGGCACTCCTACCGACTTCAAGACGACTGCACGATGAAGGATTCAACAAGAATCGACATCTCCATTATTTGACTGATATCTCATGTCGGTCAACACATGTCGGTCACCACATGTCGGATACAACATATCGGTTATAACTGGATGAACCGATATCTATAACATGCCACCTCAACATTGTAAGGCGGCGACAACTCAGCATAAGTCATCATTACGTTTGTCCAAGTGGCGAGCCATCAAGAGAAGTAGCTAAGAACCGCCTTTGACCTTTCAAATGTAATGATTACTGTAAGAATAAATATGGTACATAAATATAAAAGGAGAAAAACAATTCTCCAGCAAGGGACACACGTACAATAATAATATTCACAGAAAAATTCCATCTCCTTTTACAATATGCAAGTTCTTATCGTTGAATATTGAGTTTTACTTCCAATGTACTTAAATTAGACCGTTGTTAATTCCCGTTTGACAACAGTTTGGCGCTAGAAGGAGGGCCCGGGGCTTATGTTTTGAAGTTAACTTTCGCCTGTAAGCCACTTTCGTACTCGGAGATTACTATGTCGCAGTCTGGTCGAGATCATGTACCTCACCCTGGCCAGAGCCAATCGGCTAACCATTCTCCACGACGTACAACACCGCCTCCTCCGGTCACGAATGTCACGAACTTTCTTCAAAATCCGGAGTTTATCCAAGGTCTGACTTCATTAATAGCTCGAGCCATGCCCAGAAACTTGAGCACAATACCATTGTCGATGCCGTTAACTACTAACCCCACAGAACATCCAACCCATACTCATCATAACCATGAAACACATGTAGCAACATCACATGCCACGTCGCAGCCTCATCATACTTCTCCACGTCAAGAAGAACAGGCTCATGTAATTGCTAATCCCGTAACGAACAATCAAGTCCCAGATCAACCCCCTGTGCAGGAGATGACTGCTGAAAGTCATTCTGCTCATCACCAGAGAGTTTCGCCACGTCCTAGACCCATCTCGTCAGCCCCTCACGCTCGCGAAGATTTACGACGCCAAATTGAACGGAATCGTCTTTCAAGGCATAGTGCGGAGGAAATTGAAACTCTCCGTAAGCGTTTGGCAAAACTTGAAACGCGACAGAAGTCACAAGAAGATTCACCCCGACATGTCACGACGTCGGGAAATGTTGTTGTCGAGGCAGATTCTCCTTTAGCCCCCGAACTTACTGCGGAGCCACTCCCTGTGAAAGTGAAAATCCCGCAAATCGGCATGTATGACGGGACATCGGATCCAGATGCACACTTGGGCCATTATACATCTTGGATGGATTTACATGGGGCTTCAGATGCTTTGAGGTGTCGGATGTTTTCGCTTACACTGGGGCCACGAGCCCAAAAATGGTATTATACTCTCCCACCTCATTCAATTTGGAAATGCCAGCAGTTACGTGCAGCTTTCCGTCACACTTTATCGGTGCCCAAATCTGTCTTATTCCGAAAGAATCGATTACCAACATTGTGCAAAAGGATGACGAGACTGTTAAAGACTACGTGGCTCGGTTCAACGACCGAATTCAGAACATGGAACCCTGTCATCCTGAAACTTTGTTAGTAACGGCTATTGCCGGACTAAAGCCCAATTCAATGTTTCGTTGGACTTTGTGTCAAAACAAGCCTGCTACATTTCAAGAGTTTTTTGTGCGAGCTCAACAGTTCATTATTGCTGAAGAATCCATGTCGGTTCCCAGTTTTGACTTCTCGGTGAAAGAAAGCAAGGCTGAACCAGATACTAAGAAGAAAAGCAAGAAGAACTTTGGGAAAGCACAATTTCGGAATTCCCCTAAAGGATATGAAAATACTCCAGAGTCTTGAGCTGCTCGTGATCAATATTCGGACAACGTCAGAACAGGTTATCACGTCGTTTATTCCGCCGGAGCAGCTACCATATATGAAGAACTGAAAGGGAAGGGAATTATACCAGACCCGAGGCCTGTGAGAACTCCCGAAGACAAGTTGGATAAGACTCGGTACTGTGCGTACCATAAGTCTCCAAGGCACAATACCGATGAGTGTCTCGGTCTTTTGTCGGCACTCTTACGTTTAATCGGACAACCCCAGCTTCAAAAGTTTCGAAATTTTGATAACCGCCGGAAAGGAAGGCCCTTGGATCTTTCAGACGACGAAGATGAGGACAACCGACCTGCTAACCAGAAAAGAGCTCATGCAAACGATAAGGAAGTTTTTACGTTTTCTACTCATGTCGGAACTTCGACCGACAACCACAGGAAACCTAAGATATATGATCCCGCAGATTTTTCACATTGCATACCTCGAGTCAACTCCAATAACAAACAGTTAGATACGTCTCGATGGAAAGTCAAAGCTTATGCTCGGGAGGCTCAGAATGCCGAGAAACGAGTCATGAATGTTGATCTCCGAGATACCATCAAGAAACGGAATTGCCCTATTACGTTCAGTATTGAAGACGCTAACTTGTTCGCTCATCCTCATTCTGATGCTCTTATTATAACCGCCCCGATTGGGGGAATTCCTGTTCATCGGATCTTGGTCGATACGGGAGCGTATTCAAGTATCTTAATGCTCCGTACTTTCAAGAAATTGGGTTTGGACCCAGCAGACATTAGACCGTGTAACGATCAGATTCAAGGTTTCAATGGAAGCATTTCTTGCCCCGTTGGCGAAATATTGCTCCCCATTCGATTTGGAGGCTTTGGACCGAAGTCCAAGATCATTATGGAAACTTTCAAAGTCTTGGATGTCCAAAACGAATATAATGCTGTAATAGGACGAACCGCACTTTATAAACTTCGTGCTGCTGTGTCAATTTTTCATTATGCCCTGAAGTTCCCCACCATTGAAGGAGAAGGCACTCATTACGGAGATCAACGAGAAGCCCGAAGTCTAATGTTGCTCTCAACCTCGCGCAGCTTTCATATGATGAGAAAAGAAGATGCTGATAACTCCGTTGAGCCAAATAATTCAACTTCTGATGTTGAAAGAACTGATCAGTTCACCCCGGATACCGACATGCCTCAAGCAGATATCAACTTGCCGCTTGTCGATACCGACGTCCCTATGACGTCGGTCTTGCCTGAAACATCAACTAAAATCCTCGATCAAGAACAACTTTTTCATGAAAAAGACATAGAAATGCATGAGGATATGGACCCAAGGATGCAGTTCAAAAATGGAAGTCATCATGTCCGAGCAGAACCTGTTGAAGATATCGAGATCATTTACGTGGACGGGTCAGATCAGCAGAAATCGCTGCGTATTGGGGCCAACCTACAAGAACCCATTCGGTCAAATTTGATTCAATTCCTCCAGTCAAACACTGATGTGTTCGCTTGGAAGCATGAAGACATGAAAGGGATCGACCCACATAAAGCATGCCATCGTCTCAATTTGGACAAAACTGTTAAACCTGTTATTCAGAAACATCGGAAATTTGGCCCAGATCGCCAGAAGGCCCTTGAAGAAGAAGTAAACAAGCTCATAGA